AAAAAAAAAAAAAAAAGAAAAAAAAAGAAAAAGAAAAAAAAAAACGGAAGAAAAATCAACAATTTCTTCTCGTCTCGATACTCGGCGACTTTTTATTCGTCAAGTTTAGTGACAGGCTCGCGTGATTTCGCGCGGGGAGTTTTAGCCAATCACGTTGTCTCGCGCGCGCGAGCGCGACACCGTTGAACGCGTCGCGGTCGCTGCGCACGAGTCAACGTTTGAGCTTAATTCGATCATAAGTTACGGTAGACGTAAGACTTTTTTTCCTCTGTTTCATCCGTCTCTGTTCCTATTTCTCCTATTTATTTTGCTTATTTTCATTGAATCCGCCCTCTATCATCCCATTCTATCATCTCTGTCGGAAAGGAGTCGGAAAAAATTGGCTCGTTTCCCGGTTTGTCCTTTACCTGTTCGTTTCTCTCGTTGCTTCTCCCTCTTTGCCACCTCTCCTTCTCCTCCTCCTCCTCCTCCTCCCTCTCCTCTCCCTCCTCCTCTTCCTCTTTTCTCCAGCCTTCTTATTTTTGTCCAAACGTCGCCCGTAGTATAAACAGAATCGTAAACACGGTTTTTAACGAGATTTCATGTGTCCGCAGTCCGCTTCAAGACGAGTAGGCACTTCTTGCAGTAATTGTCAAACGACGATGACGTCGTTATGGCGTCGAAACACTTTGGGCGAGCCTGTTTGCAACGCGTGCGGCCTTTATTTCAAATTGCACGGAGTGAACAGGCCTCACACTATGAAGAAAGACAGCATTCAGACGCGAAAGAGAAAACCGAAGGGAGGAATGAAATCTAGCGACACGCCGATCGCCGGGAATGTCGCGGGAGTGAGCAATAACAACACGACCATCACCACGGCCAACAACAACAACAACAACAACAACAACAACAACAACAATAACAATAACAACAACAACAATAGCTTAAAATTAGAACCTGGTACGAATTCCAATGAGATCGGTAGGTCTTACGTTGGCCAGTATTTCTCAACCTTTTTCAGTTCTCAACCTTCTCATTTCAAATAATATAACTTGCGTTAATTCTTCTTATAAAAAACTTTTTATATTATTTTTTATATTATTATATTTTTTTTTTTAACACGGAGAAGGACGCAATCATTTTGAGGGAAAAAAACGACTCCTCACAGATTGAGAACCGCTGGTCCATCTTTTATTTATTATATAACCCCAACGAATTTCACGTAGCAAGCGTTGATTTCACGTTTACACTTACGCGTTTCAACATTTGCACAGACACGTATGGCGAGCTGAGGATGAGCCACGCCGGAATGCCCCAAGTGAGCTACGGCAGCAGCCTTTACGGAAGCCCTCAATCCGCCACCCAGATCGTTTCCTATCAGTCTGCGCCCTCTGGAATGTACTACGATATGATCGTGTCTCAACAACAGCAGCAACAACAGCAACAGCAGCAGCAACAGCAACAACAACAGCAACAGCACCAACATCATCAACATCCGCAACTTCTCGAGACCCACTCACCGAAAGTCGAGTGCCCCTCACCGCCGTGCGCGAATCGATCCCCCGTTATGATATCCGCGAGCCATTCGCCCGATCATCATCAGCTTCCATCCCCGCACATCGTTACGCTTGGAAATTCCTCGCCAAGTACGGCTGCAACTAAAATTATCCTCGACAACGGCCATCTAGACAGACCGTCCGTCGTCTCGCGAGACCGACTTTTGTCCACGACAAAATTGAAGTCGTCCGTGGATGGGAAAATTCGTTGTTAATCGGTGAAAAATGAGTACAAAAAAAAAAAAAAAAAAAAAAAAAAAAAAAAAAAAAAAAAAAAAAAACAAAAGAAGAAAAAAAAAACGCGAAAGAGAACGCGTCATTTCTTTCTTTGTTTCAACGATTTTTTTTTTGGTTCGCTTTGATTTTCTCGAAAAGCGTTTCTCTTTTTCACGGCGTTACTTTTCAAAGCGAATGTCGAATTATGCGTTGAAAGAGAGAATGAAACGAAGAATGAAAAAAAGGAGAAGAAACGTGACGATTTCTTTTTTTTTTTTTTTGTTTCTCTTCATTCTTAAAATTTATCGATCGATTGATTTATTAATAATCGCGTATAATAATCTTTTTATTCTTTCTTCTCTTTGTGTCATTCTTCTCGCACGCGTTTGTTCTTTGAAGAATAAGAGGACAAGAAAAAGGTAATAACGATGATGAATATATATATATATATAAGGATAAAGTAGCGAGGATGAACCTTGCTAAGAAATGAAATGAAAAGACTGGAGCCTCCTGTACGTTCGACGAACGGGACTGATAAAGGGGAGGATAATACCAGAGGTTTTTTAAGTATCGATTATTCATGATTTTGCGAAAAATAAAACTCGTTGTAAATAGTTTTGAAAAAGTGTGCATGCGTGAGCAATACGACACGTGGGGGCGAACCTTGTTTTTAGAAAGATTCGGTTGTACTTGTTTATTTTTACGCGCACGTTTCAATTCGAGCGACGATCGAATGAATGAAATTGTCCGAATGATATTCGATCGCCGATTATTATTTT